TTTTGCCGGTTTTCTTTCCAGTTTATGGATCTGCGAACGCGTTACACAGCCTTAGTCACTTTGACAACCCAGCATGTGAAGTACATCAGCGATGCACTGAGAAGACTGGAGGAAGAGGAGGTGAAGCCTTGTTTTACTCTGCAGATCCAACCTTCTAGTGTTTTTTTTTTTTGGCTTCCATGGTAACATTCCCTCCTTTCATCTGTGCAGAAAGAGGTAGAGGAGGAGAAGCAGGCCAGGGTGGGCCAGGTGTCAGAGCTGCTGGGCTGGGTCAAAGGCCTGCAGGGCCGGACCAGGGGTCCCAGCGCAGAGTCTTCACTTGCTGCTCAACAGGTAGCTGACGCTGCTTTATTTTATTTTTGTTTTATCTGAAAGCAGCTGCTGAGTTGGTGCTGAATGTGTTTCCTCTGAAGGCCATCAGTGAGCAGCTGGCAGGCAGGAAGGAGCAGGTGGCTGAAGCCATCAGGAGCACGCAGGGCTTCCTGTCTTCCAAACAGGCCACCAAGTAAGACCCACACTCACTCACAGTTTCTGGTTATCGATCCACAGCTTCCAGTTTGTTTGCTTTTTTTTTTTTTTATGAATTATGTTTATTAGGTATTTTTGAACATTTATACAAAAACTAAAAAAGAAAGAACAATAACAGGGCAAAACTTAAACAGCACTGATACAGAAAACAAGACAAAATCGGAGGCATGTGCATAAATTACAGCATCATATTAGAAACCTAACCAATTTATACATACATGTCATTCAGATTCACATTACTGGTTTTTCATTTTTGTGATTTTGAAGTAATCAAGAATACATTCGCATCTTTTTTAAAAAGCATGAAATTTCCCATTCACACAGTATCTCCATCTTTCTAATACAATAACTTCAGAAAGCAAATTTTTCCATAGCTGGATCGAAGGGGCGTCAGAACCAACCCATTAAGCAATATTTAATTTTTTGTTTGCAGATGATGAAACAGTAACTGACCAATAGTTCAGTTGTTGTTTTCTGCTCTGACACTTTGAGTCCAATATGCAGATATTAGCGACTTGATCAACACATCTTTATTTAAAGAGCCCTTTAAAACAACCAAAGCTGCCATAATATCAAGAAAATAAATTATAAAAAAACAAGATAGTTTAAAAGAATAAAATTAATAAATTTAGATTTAACAGATAAAACAAGATAATACTTATTTCAGATACTAAGTGAAGCTTCTAGAAAAACTGTAAAAATAAAGTGGCTAAAACTAGAAAGACCTACATTGGACGAATGGTTTGACATTATTTATAACCACTTTAACCCTGTAATGCCAAATGTATCATATTTGATACATACGGTTTCTGAAATGTTTTGCGTCTGACACCTTTTGCATAATTTAATGGTAAAAAATTTGCTCAAAATCCTATTGTCCACAATCAGATATACCTGATAACAGAGGGCAGAAGAATACACAAAAAAAAGTATTGACTTATCGCATAGTAATAAATTATTAATATCAAAAATGTATTTTGTTTTTTTCTATTTACATATTTTGTTAAAAGAACAAATAAGGACTTCAAACCAACAAAAAGTAATTTTCTGTTTTGTTTTATTCTTGGATCGGGCTTTAAAGGGTTAAGATGGAAAATATTACATTTGTTTTAAGACTAAAAAGGGATCTGTTTATGAAAAGATAAGAAAGATGGATCAGATCCGTCCATCCTTTATATACTTCTTCTATCCACTTCCCCCTTCTTCCTGTTTTTTTTTTTTTTTCTCTAGGTCTGTCTTTTTCAACCCAGTAAATTATTTACTTATTTTTCCCATTGTATAACTGAAGTGCACCCCAGCATTTTTGGTCTTAGACAAAGGAGTTAGGTCCGTAATCCGTAAACATTTTGTATGTTAATTTCTTCCGTTTTTCTTTTTTTTCTTTTTTTTTTGGGTGTGAGATGAAGGAAGAATCAATCATCCCTATCTGCAGATCCTGCAGAATTGCAGACGTCTAGCTAGACAATGCTGTTTTAATGAACAGATAGCTGGAGATTACTGATGTATTGTTTAACAGTAAAAATAACAATAAAAATAAAAAAAAGATAACTTGCAAGTAAAATAAAACACAAAAACAGTCTCACACTGTATTGAATAATTTCTCATCTT